CAAAAATTGACCTAGACTATATTTGTAGTGCTTTGTGTGGTGGTAATGATGGTGCAACTCTCCAGTTGAAATGAGACCTCTAGCTAGCTCAAAAGTCCATCTCAAGTCAGCTATGAGCTCGGGGGTCAGCTGGAAACTTTGTCTAAAATGTTCTTGAGTTGTCCTGGAGTTGTCCTAGTCAAGTTTCCATAGCTCTTGGATGCTAGCTTTAAGTCAACTCCCATCATGTGGCCGAATATGCACCTACAAAATAAAGCATAATATAAGCTAAATATTTAAATTAAATAACTTATAATATAATGATGTGGACTATAGGTTATAATAATAACTCATACATCTTATGTTAATGGATGAATATTATTATTATAACTATAGATTATATGCTTGAATATGAATCAATGATGCAAATCATATAATGAATGAATGTACATGTTATGATAAATCAAGTATAGTCTAATCTACAAATGTATGCTCATAATAATATATAGTGTATAAATAAGTAAATATAAAATAAAGTAAGGTAGAACTCTCTTAGAACCAGATTTGAATAACATCCATGGTGTGATCAAGTCATGGAGAAAATTGGAGCTAGACAGGATCACATCACTAACGATAGTGGCGGTGGTGCGCGTGCGTGCGAGGACTTTGTCACTCCACATTCAACAAGGAAGATAAGAAACAATTTTTTATTTTGAGTTATTTAAGTCAACTTATATTTTTTTGTTCAAAGTTAGAATAACAAAAATAAAATAAAATGACATCATTTTTGTCTTTACTCAAGTAATTTGATTATTTTATGATTTAACATCTAATTGCTTATTTTAAATTTCATTCTTGTTTTAATTATACTTTTAATCAAATTTAAACTAAATACTATTTAACCACTTTAGTACATATATTGGTTCAATCCCTCTCTTTGAAAATAAATTTCTCTTTTTTTTTCATTTAGTCTCTAAACTTACTTGTTTGCATATTTCTTCAATCTATCTTTTGTTTTTAATTCATTTTGATCAAGTTTAAACCACATGATCTTCTACAATTATAAAATATTAGTGCCCTAATTGCAACTCTTTGCAAAATCTTTATTTTCAAAAGTTTATTGACTTCTTTATAGTCACATCAATATTTTTTCTTAAAATCTATTCATTAAAAAATAATATTATAAATATATTACATAATTTTATATGATATTTGATTTATTAAATATTATAAATCTAATTTACACAATATATATATATATATAGTATACGTTTATTAGAATTATTTAAACTAGAACCAATTAGTACCATGATATTATAGACAATTACATTTTAATCCGAATTTCATAAACTTGACTTGAGTTTTTTAAAAATAAAGTTTGAATGACAAAATAAACTCATAAATTTGATTACTTTAAATTTGTTTCGACTCGAATTGTCAAATACGAAAAAATGGTTAGGACATAATGTTGATATAATGACTGTGTTGATGGAATTATAGAATTCTAGAGTTGGTTTATCCTGGTGCAACATCATTACCATCTCATATAACATCTGAAGCAGCACAGATACGAAACAGTAGGGATGGGCGTAAAATCTGGAGATTTGTAAAGGAAAACAGTGGCTTTGCTTTTGCGATAGTTCCCCCTCAGTCCCACCATGGATCACACAAAACAACACCCTTGACAGCTATATAAATTAACACAGACTCAAATCGGAAAGCCTACATGAAGTTGCGTGCTGGTTTGGCTATACCTACATGGTTTATGGTGTCTTAATTCATTTACTTGCCGCCCGCCACAATTTCATTACTGCTTTATTTCTACCCTTGTTGTTAGTGCTTCAAAAACTGTTGACTGAGGACAACCCCTTTCCTATACAATGTGTCAGACCAGATGCCAGAATTAGGGCTAATCCCCGCCTAGGCCGCTCAATATAGCTTCAACTCCACAGTATTAATAAGGTTAAACTACCTACTTACTCATCCAATTATTCCAATTAAATTTTTATTTGATCACCTAATTATTTTTTATTATATTTTAATTATTAATAGAATTATTGATACACTAATTTTTATTTTTTCAATGATAACAGAATATTATTTTATGTGACAAGTCAATATTACATAATTATAAAAAATAAAATCAAAATATAAAATTAGATATAATTATAAAAAATAATTAAATTATAAATTATAAAAATAATTAGGTGATTAAATACATAATTATAAATAATTTTGATTTATGTTATCATGTGAAACGGTCACCGTCTTCGGCCTCGTTAGTCATTAGAAGTTGTCGTCAAAGCCCATTTACATATTTCTGAAGCCGTTGCCAATGGCCCAGATTGCCATTAGAAGAGTTCCTTCTTCCCGACTCTCTTTATTATATATACTATCAATCAGTAAAAATTAATTATTTTATTATTTTTAAATATAGTCAATCTATTAAAAAGTTAATTTTTTAAGTATATATTCACTTTATATTTTCATGAAAGAAAATCATCTTTAAAAAAATAATGATATAAAAAATAAAATAAAGGAGTATTTTTATTAATAAAGGATGTGATGAAGTAAATTTATACAATAATATTTCAGACAGAATTATTTCATAGACCCTAATCAATTTATAAGTTTTCATCGTTCTCCCATACTGATTTTCATATTTTTTTTCTTTACACATTAATTTGATAAGATTTTATTGTCTTTCTTTTATTATTACAATAACTTAATCCAAATCAATAAAAAGAAGCTAGTTAATCGAATAATGTTATTTTAAAAAAATAAACAAATATATTCTTAAATTTACAATTATGTTTTATTTATTTTTCATAATTTAAGATCAGATAAACTATACCCATAATCACTTAAATATGGGGAAAAAAAATCAATTTGGTCATTGACCTTTCAATTGTCAGTTAAATTATTTAATTATTTAAATGACATCAATCAAGTTACGCACCGTAAACATCTATGAGAAATTAACTGAATCATGAATATAAAAACAATAAATACTAAAATATATTTATGTAACTCACAAATTTATTGTTAAAAGGTTGATTGAATTTTATGACCGGTTTTTGATAATTCCAGCTTCCACCGGCGAGCAGCCTCAGCCCAGCCCAGCCCAGCGAAGGTGGCATTAGAAATAAGAGGAATAGCATTGGAATGCTTACGGCTTTTGTCGGAGCATGACTAGGCTTGAGAAACATTTTATACAGTATAATAGAACAACAGAAGTAATAAATTAACCAAATTTGTAGTCATATATCAAAGGCTTAACTAAAAATATACTCAAGCTATGTGATTTCTTTATTTTAAGTATCGAAATTATTTTTTATCAAATTTTTAAACTATTATATGTAACTACTTTAAGTATTTAAATTACCTTTTATCAAAATAAATCTTTAAACTATATATATATATATATATATATATATATTGCTTTAAGTCCCTAAACTATTTTTTAGTCAAAATAAATATCTGATTTTATATAATATGTAAATATGTTATTCGTCGAAAAGCATTTTTCTAACTAAAAAATGATAGAATTTAAAATGGTTAAATTTAGGGTATAATATGCATTTAATACTTAAATTATTAATTTTGATTCATCTTAGTACCTAAACTTTCAAATTTTTTAAATTCATATCTAAAGCTTAATTTTTGTTTCATTTTAGTACCCCCACCATTAAAAACTTAACAACAACACATGACATGATATTTTTTAAACTTCAACGTCAACAATAAAATAATATTTCTTATTATTTTTATTGAATTGTGTTTAGTATGGGAATTCATCCCAATCCTCTACAGAAAAGGGAAAACCTTGGCCACTGGGATAACCAAGATAATTGTTACATATTCACCATAAAATAAATTTAATGTATACTCCATTACCATCACAAAATAAGATATTTTAATTAAAATTAGGACTCAAATTTAGAGCTTCTCTCCAAGAAAAATTAGTATACGAACCATTAAGCTAGTCTATAAAATTAGTTATTTAAGATAAATTTTATATTTAATTTATATAATTATTTAATTAAAGAATTAATTATTTAAAAATATAAACCCTTTTTTAGTATACACTATATAAAATATTAAATCATTAAAATAAACACTATTTTTTAACTTCATAATTTCTCTATTAATTTAATCTTAACTAAATAAATATATAAATTTTAAATTATTTATGATAAAAATAATTCTTAATATTCATTTAATTTCATATTTATATTATATTATCATAAATAAATAAATATTTTAAATTTAATTTTTAAAATAATTTAGTATTGATTTTTAAAAACATATATTTAATTATTTTTATTTCAAAATAAAGTTAAAATAATTTAACTTTTAATTAATTAATTTGGTTTATAATATTTTTTTATATTTTTAGATAATTGTTTGTTCTTTAATTGAACAATTATATAAATTAAATATAAAGTTGATGATATATGACCAATTTCATATACTAGCTTAATAATTGGACACAAATTTTCTTAGGGAGAAGTCCTAAATTTGAGTCTTGGTTTTAATTAAAAAATTCTTGTTTTGTGGTGGTAATAGGGTTAATTAAATATGCGTTGTAGTGTACTAGTTTCCTGGAGGGTACGGGTTCAATTCCCAGGCTATACACAAATTTGTTGGTTTTATATTTCATAGGGTTAAAAATAATAAAAAGATTATTTGATTGTTGCCGTGAAAATTTTAAAAATACTAAAAAAAACTATCACCACGTCAACTTTGTAGTTAAGTTTTTAACGACAAGTAATTAAAATGAAACTAAAATTAAATGTCATGAATAATTTTGAAAAAAATTAAAAGCTTAGATATTAAATTTAAATAAAATTGATAGTTTAAATAGTAATTTATTTTTAAATTTAATAGTTTAAGGGTTTAATTTGACAAAAAATAATTTAGATACTTAAAACAAAATGAATACATAAATTTCGGTATATATATATATTACTTTTAGCCTGAACCAAATTACAAATGTACATAGGCCAGGATATCAGTTGAATTTAAATGTTTAAAGCAACATGCAACCCGAAAATCACAACCCACAAATCTATTACTAATTCGTAGATTTTCACTCAATCTTATGGAGCCAGACTTGACCGGACACTCACCGGTTTCTGGTAACTAAACTTGTCGTGAGGACCGGAACGAGTAGCATTTTTAGACGAAAACCCAGGGCCGGAACCCCATCCGGCTATGGCACCATCTGATGATGACCTTGCATGTTTTGTTTTTTCCACTTCCCTAATCATCCTATGCCGCTCCTTTATCGGATCACGGCTGTACGGTTGACCATTATAGTGAAGGTATGGATTCTTATGGGGTATACCCAGCGTAGAATATGATCTCTTCATGATCTTTGATTTGGGGTCCTCTTTGATCAGATCACGGTAGTTGATGGCCGAGAAGACGTACATTGCCGGGACATCCGAACCCAAACGAACCGAAGCGCCAACGTTTAGAACCCCCTGGAACCGACCGGAGGGTCGACGGACCTGAACCGCGTTCAGAGAAGGAACCCTCACCGGGATATACGGCGACCCGTTACAAAGAAGGTTATCGACGAGCAACCGGACGGTTCCCACCAGGGTATCACGGAAGATACCATCGGCGAAGATTTCGATCGAAATGCCGGACGTTTCGCTGTAAAGAAACTCGCGTGAAACTCTGAAGAGGAACTTTTCGTTCCAAGTTGGGTTTTCACCGCCGACACGGTCGATGCATGTGGAAATCTTGTCGGCGGAATCGATCCAGGCGAGGGCGTACGTCTTCATGCGACGGAATTTAGATGTTTTCTTGAGCCCTTGGGCGGATATTAAAGTTATCTCCAAAATGTAATGGTTATCCATCTCACCCTAGGCCTTACCTCTCTCTCTGTCTTTTTCCCTCCTCCTTTTCCGTTCTTGTTTCCTGTTTGTTTTGAAATTCGACCAAGAACGGAAAACAAAAGGAAATCCTTTCGTTAAAGGAGCATTTCGACGGGAAAGGTATGCCGGTGGTGAGAATAATGCGGACGGAAGAGAAGGATTGAAAGGAAAGGGTCATAAAGGCAATGAAGAAGAGCGTTTATATACTTGCAAGGTCGAGGCAAATGCGAAAAACTAACTGCTTTGGATTTTGTTGTGATTGGAATAGTAAATTTGGACGAAAAATCCCAACAATACAAACAAGTTTTAAACATAATTTTTTAACTTCCAATAACAATAATTCATATTATAATCTTTTAACTAAAAATTACTTCAATCTATTCTAACTAAGTAATAATTACTTTAAAAAAGTATTTATATTAATTAAATTATTTATCTAAAAAATTTATTTTATTTTTTACCAATATTAGTTCAAATATAATATTAATATTAAAATATTTTGGACAATTTTATTTTATAAGTATATAACTATGCAATTATTTTTAGTTAAACATATATGAAGTTATAAATGATTTATATTATGTTAGCAAGATTTTTTTTATATCTATTAATTGGTTGAATAATCAAGAATGTTCATAATATTTTATCTTATGTTATAATTTTTTTGCAAACAGCTATAACCTAATCCACAAACGAATATGAACTTATTGCCCTAGACAACACTGGAGAAGAGGCTGAATGAATGCAAAATTAATTGGAATATATTAGAATCTTCAAAGTTTGTGCCCGCAATATGTATATATTCTAATAACCAAGCAACAATTTATAGACACAAAATATGATATATAATGTTAAGTCGAGGCACACGCGTTGTCAACATAATATTATTAGACAATTGATTTCAACTGAAGTTATTTTATTGATTTTGTAAAATCAAATGATAATATTACGAATTTACTAATCAAAAGGTTGAATCGATGTCAATTTAATAAAATATTGAGAGGAATGAGACTAAAACCCATGAATATTTATGAAGTTATGTAAAGGATAACCCAACTTAATTGATTTGAAGATCTCAAGATCTAGGTTCAATAGAACAACCTTGTGGAGTTAATGTGAAAGTTTTATCCCAAATACATTCCTATGATGAAAAACAATGATTAAAGCAATATAAAAGGTTAAATGATATTTTAAATAACCATTGTGCACTTCAGTGAGTTAAACAACATAAGTTATCTATGTAAGAGTGAAACAAGACCACTTCAATAAGTCTGATGAGCCAGTTCTTTAAGTTTTTGTAGAACCATGAGATATTCACGACTACACGAGCATAATCATGAGAACTAAAGCCTTATCATAAAGGTATTTGTGAGTTATGTCATTACTTACACAAATGATACACAATTGTAACCCCTAGATTCGGTCTAAGCGTTACAATCGAATCTTGAAAGCCACATTGATCACTAAAGTAATCCGTAATTTAATTCAAAATTTTGAGCAGACATAAAATTATATTTTCAAATAGTTTATTCAGTTATTGTCCTTTATAATATAATAAAATATAATTTAAAACTGAGACTCTGATCTATAAGGTATGGATTTGATCCTAATGTTCTAAAATATTTAAAATGGATAAATAAAGTGGGTGAGCTATAGAGCTCAGTGTAGTCAAAATGTGTTGATAAATAAAGTATTTAGAATGTCATACAATGATACACAACAATTTCAGAAATACAGACACACTAGAATGCAGACACTAGCTAGTAAGCTCCTAATAACTATCCAACCATCTGTTAAGTTTCACAGGACGAGTTCCCCATCACCTATGATCAACCAAACGCTAGACAGGAAGTGACAAATCATATAAACAAGAGTGGTGACTACTAAAATTTAGAAAAAATAGTTTGTGGGAACCATGTCACGTATACACCACGAAGAGTAATAAATTACTAAAACAAGAGCGGTTGACCACTAACTTCCTCCTTAACATCACAACCCTTGAAACTAGACAAATGTGACATGCTTATACAAATTACAAGATAGTGTAAGACATGTCATACAAAAATCAAAGTAGTTTCAGGAGCATGCTCAAATATTGACAGTCACAGTTCTTTAAACATATTGTTCATACAATAATAGTTCAAAAAATATATTGTCCAGACAGTCGTATTTTCGAAAATATATTGTACCGACAGTCACAGTTCAGGAAAACATATTATTCAGACAATCACAGTTCTAGAAGCATGTTTGTTCAGACAGTCACAGTTCAAGAAACATTTTGTTCAAACAGTCATAGTTCAAACATCTTAAAGGTAATTTAGAAACATATGATTTATACATCTCACAAGTAATTTAGAAACATATTGTTCGGACATCTCACAGATAATTCAAAAACATGTTTGATAACTTATCAATAATTTATGCAGCTCAAAATACAAATCACAGTCACACAAACAAAGACATGGAGATTCAGATACATTATCACAACATTGATCAATATTTAATTAATTATAGATTCAAAAGAAAATTATTAAACAAAATAAAAATAGTTATAGCACGGTAAGATACACACCTATGAATATGTAGTGTTAAATTCATAGATCAAGATCTTTTCTCGATCAAAAATAGAGCTCAGACCATGTGATGAACACACTGTTCAATTGGCTAAATCAATAGCCAAAACATGACTTCAATTTGATGAAAAAACAAATATAATATTGGGTGTAGGGATTAATGAAATTACAAAGAGCGAGGACTTGAAGGAGAATAATACAAAGTTTGGATCTAACGAAATAAAATGATTTCGGTGTGAGAGGTTTCTTACTAGGCATGAACGACTTGAAGAAGCAATTGAACGAATACCTTGAACATGTTTCCAAGATGGCATGGAAAATACAAGCAGAAACATTAGGTCGTACAATCATACACAACAATTTCAGAAACACAAACAAACTAAAATAAAAACGCAAGCTAGTAAGCTCCTAACTACCTAACCATCTGCTAAACTTCATAGGACGAGTTTCTCAGAATCTTAATGAATCGAACGCCAAAAAGAATGCGATAAATTGCATAAATAGGAGAGGTGATCGGTGAAATTAAAAAGAAAATTGTGGGAATCGTGTCATGGATACACCACTAGTAAAAATAAATTGCTAAAATATGAACAATGAACCATTAAACTTCATTCACATTCCAACCCAAGAAACAAACGTGGCATGCTTATACAAATTATAAGGCAACGTAAGACATGTGATACATAAATCAAAATAGTTTCAGGAGCATGCACTATAACACCCTCAACCCGTACCCGACCCAGATACGAGTCTGAGGTGTCACATTGACTTTTCAACCTTTGACTCTTGTCGAAAAATCAAGAAATTTAAAACTTTCGTTAACATAAAAGCGGTTTACTTACATGACATGGCTAAAACAACCAAAATTGATCAGAGCATTCATAATTGACACTTTACTTATATGCCAACATACTATACAAGACAAAATACATACTTTATCAGTTACTTCTGATCTGATCTTCTGGCAGTGCTGCTGTTATTGTCACTCCTATTTCGGTTCTGCTCGATTCTTGGTACCTACGTATAAATCACTTACACGCTAAGTCATAGACTTAGTGAGGCATAACATAAATATATGTATATGCATGTATAACAATGAATTTATGAACATGCATCCTTACCATTGATCATGACATCTTAACTTGCATATATTTATTAACTATAACATATATGATGATAGTATGCACATATACGCCATATATTTTTATGTTGATTTCGCTTTAATTTATCTTTGGATTGCCCATGTACATTATTGAGAACAAAGGTATGTGACTACATAGAGGTTGTGCACTATGCTGTCACCACAACTTGTATAATTCCCTCAAGGGGCACTGAATATTTGTCTCGAATGGACCATTATGTCCCAAAGGACCACTGTGTCCCGAAGGACCACTATGTCCCGAAGGACCACTGATTGTTCCGAAGAACCACTATGTCCCGAAGGACCACTGTATATGTCCCGAAGGACCACTCCTTAAGAACCATATACATAATACAATGGACCAAATAAGTGTACCAAAGTACCACATATATGTTCCACAGAATTATATATATGTCCCGAAGGACCACGTAGAACCCTCGACTCTTGGTATGCCAATTATACCTACAGCTCTCATATTAACTCACATGGGCTTAAATATGAATGCATTTCTCATTTTCATATCTTCTCATCACTTTTCATATAAACATGTATTTCACTTCATATACACACATGTGATCACTTTCATTATTTCACATACCTGGATTGATCATTTGACAATTTCATTCTTTCATATAATATCATAGTAAAGCATAAATGAACTATACATGAAATCACTGTATCCAATATATATATGTGGATGCATACATGAATATGAAATCAGGAATTCAACTATAAGAGATAGACTTATCGCAAGTCTTATCTCCATACAATTATATCCAGTATGTGCACTCACCTTAGCCTTGCTTTGACTCAATTCTAATCTCTCGGTTGTTCCGGAACGAGATTACGTTCTAAATCTACACAGTAATACATTGATACATATCAGTATACTAATTGATATATTCTAAACTATCACTCCTTAGGATAAAAAGAAAGTTATTTTTATCTTTTAATGAAGGTATGCATCGATGCACTACACCATGTATCGATGCATCCCTTGACAGGTGCATCGATGCACTATCTATGCATCTGTGCATAAATCCCATTCCAAGTTTGTATTTTAAGAAGGTGCGTCGATGCACTCCTCATGCATCGATGCACTAATTGCATTCGATGTTCAATTATTTGATAGTGCATCGATACACATTGAATGTGCATCGATGCACACAACCCAGAATTTGTATTTTAAGCCCAAAAATCATCAATTCTTCACTCAATTCTTCAATTAAACCCCTATCATGTCATTAAACCCAACCATCATTACTTAAACCAATTTATATCCATAAAAATCATCTTTAACCTCAAAATTCTATCCCTCATATGTGATTCAAGAATCATACTCAAATTTCAATATGTTCTAAATACAATTCTAACACTTCATATTCCTTAATTAGCATGATGACAAGTCAAATTTATCTTTAAATTCAACTTATCAACT